GGTAAAGGGAGCCCCTGTTAAAAAAAAAAAAAAAAAAAAAAAAAAGGAAACAGGCTGAGCACGGGCCAGAGAAGCAGTAAGCAGCACTTCCCCGTGGTCAGTACTTGGGCTCCCACCCCAAGCTCCTACCTTGGTTTCCCTCTATGATGAACTGTAAGCTAAAGGCAAAACAACTTTCCTTCCCCAAACTGGTTTTGGTCATGGTGTTTATTACAGCAATACAGCATAATTAGGACACCTGCATTTGATCTGACCTATGTATTTTTCCAAAATTATTTTTACGTGTATGAGTATTTTGTAAGAGTACCTGTGTGTGCGGTTCTGGAGTTCAGAAGGGGGTGTCAGATCCTCTGGAACTGGAGTTACAGATGGTTGCGAGCCACCATGTGGGTTCTGGGAACCAAACCCAGATCCTCTGGAAGAGCAGCCAGTGCTCTTAACCACCGTGCCATCTCTCCAGCCCCATATGTATAATTTATTATATGAGTGGAGATCACAGGAAGTCAGTGGTTTTGAAGCAGGGTCTCTCTCCTTTCTGCAGCTCTCCTGCTTACTACAGGATAGCCCACGAGCTTTGGATTGATTCGCCCATTTCCACCTCCCATCTCACTGTAGAAGTGCTGAGATCACAGGTGCACACCACCACCAACACATTGGGGATTTTTTTTCTTTTTCTTTTTTTTTTTTTTGGTCTTTTTGAGACAGGGTCTCCCTGTAGCCCCAGCTGTCCTGGAACTCACTATGTACACCAGGCTGGCCTTGAACTCACAGAGATCTCCCTGCCTCTGCCTCCAGAGTGTTGGACTCAAAGGCGTGTGCCAACACACCCGGCTGCATCTGGACTTTTGTGTGTGTGTGTGTGTATGCATGCATTGCCTGCATGTTATATGTACTGGGGATCAAATTCGGGCCATCAAGATTGTACAAGTTTCTTGCTTTTCTGATAAACACCATGACCCAAAGCAACTTCGGGAGTAAAGGGTTTACTTTGTTTACACTTCAGGGTCACAGCCCATAACTGAGGGAAGTCAGGGCAGGAACTCAAGCAGGAGTAGTAGGAGGAGCCATGGAGGAATGCTGCTTGCTCTGACATTCAGCCCGGTGGTGCCCACAGGCCAATCTGATCCAGAGAATCCCCAGACTCCCCTAACTCTGGGCTGTATCAAGTTGACAGGGGACTCGAGCTAGGAAGCAGCAGGGAGCTCTTACCTGCTGAGCCGCCCCCACAGGCCTACACCATGTCCTTCACTGAACAGCTCTACTACCTCACACTCTCCGGGTTCTAACTCTGCTTTTCGTCATTCTGACTTATTCTCAAGACTTGCTTTCACGTGTGTAATAATTTTGGATTGTGGGATCATGTGAGAAAGCCTGGATTTATCTCTGAGAATCCTGAGGCCTTGGTTGGGAGCAAGACCTCCAGCTAAGACTACCATGGTTTATGCTGGGCACCGCACCAAAATTGACGAGGGACCACATGGACTTCTCCGCACAGGGTGCTCCAGGCCCCTTACTGCCTGTCAGCCAGTGGGTGATCTGACTCTAGTCAGCTCTGAGGAGTGTGCTCCCTCACCTGAGATCATGAATGCCTCGGAGCAGCAGAGCTCAGGCAGAATAATGCAAACTTCCTGACATTCACTGGGTGCTGGCATCTATAGTAATGCAGTGGCAGTGTTGGAATGTGACAGTGCACACAGGGAAGGGCTGTAAGGCCCACGGAGAGCCTGGGTCAAGGGGCCTAGCCCACAGGACATAAGCAGCTGGCTCAGAACCGTGTTCTGCAACCAGCAAAGAGATTGCCTGCAACTGTGAAGGGGCTTCAAATATGGACTGCTGCTGGAAGGCAAGCCTGGAGGCAGGCGCAGCTCTTCACAAGGCAGCTCATCCTGAGAGCCCCCTTTCAGTCAACAGCAGGCAACACAGTGGTCACCTGGCAGTAGTGGCCCTCAGCTCCCACCCACCACAGTGGGGAGAACAGAACCAACAAGGGAAGGCTGATCTGGACTCTACCACCCAGGGGAGGGCCTGCACTAACAGGCAAAGGTAGGAGGTGTCACTCAAGTCCCCCAGAGACAGTGGCTGCTGCGTCTTGCAGGTCTTAGCACTAATTGCAATGGGAACCCTGGCACAGTTGTGTCCAGGACCTGCCGAACTTCACCTGAAAAGCAAGTGAGCCCTGAGGAGCAAGACAGACTGCACTGGAGGTGGGTGGTGCTGGCCCCTGGTGGCTAAGAGAGGAGGCTGCTGAAGTCACTTCCTTGGAAAGGCTGCCCCCTGGTCAATGGGAACCAATGCTCTGCTCCCTCCCTCAGGGTTGAAGGGCAAAGCCAATCACCAACTAAGTAGTCTTTGAGTGTTCCCTCGAGAAAGTACCAACCACGTGCTGTCATAGGGGTCAGCCGATTGACAGGTCATCACCTAGACCAGAGAAAGGTCCCAACAGGCCCACCTCGGTGTACCCGCCCTCTGCACTGGGCTGCTCCAGTCATCACTTGGGTTTCCTTCTTGTTTTATTTTTATTTTTTTACGTGTATGAGTATATAGCCATCATGTATGTAAGTGCACTGTGTTGTGCAATGGTGGTCAGAAGAGGGCGTCAGATCCCCTGAAACTAGAGTTAAGGACAGTTTTAGCCACCATGTGGGTGCTGGGAATGGAGCCCAGGTCCTCTGTAAGGGCAGTGACTCTTAGCTGCTGAGCCATCTTTCCAGCCCAGGTTTCCTTGTGATATCCAGCCTCAGCCCAGCGTCTTCACAAGGCCCTGTGCCTCCATCCTGGCTAGGTCACGGTAGTTGAGCTCAGAGCCTCTGCCCTCCCACCAACACACAGATGATCTAGAGCCAAAAGGCAAGGCAAGACCCAAAGGCAAAAGGAAGGTTGGAATTGCTTTTATTGAGGGGCGGACACCGCAGGGCCCCGCCCATGGTCAGATTAGTGTTCTGCCTGGCATCTCCACCTGCCTCCAGCCCAGGGTTAGTGAAACATGCAAAGCTCACTCGGAGGGTGGAGGCTGGCTAGACAGGAGGGTGTCACTGGACAAAACACATGTGAGCACAGATGGACCGGCCAGTGACCCTGGGCTATGAAGGGACCAGGGCTCCCTGGGAGCCAGGTGGGCAGCAACACCCAGACAGGGGATCCACTGGGCCCATGGAGGAGGAGAGATCTGAGATCTGAAGAACCCCCCAGCCTAGCCCAGCCAGAACATCCATCTCTACCCTATGTCGGGTCCTTAGGGCCTAGGTACAAGGGAGGACACAGAAGGCACTTACAAGGGGAGCTGAGGCTGGGAGGCTGAAGCAGAGGCTTAGGTCTTGGAAGATTAAATGTGGGGCAGTGAGCTATAGAGCAGAGCTCCAACAACAGATGGAGGCCAGGGCAGGAGGCTGGGGCCAGACCCAGGCCTTATCTTCCCATGGGGAAGGGGCTTCTCTGGGCAGGCTGGAAGAGACAGTTGGCCCGGGACCCTTCCCTTGCCAGCAAGACCCACTGAGCAAACGGGCCATTCAGGGAAACACACCAGGGAGAAGCAGCTGGCCCAGGAAAGAGGCCCTGAGAGGACTGAGGGCTCTCTGCCCATGGGACTCATCCCAGCTGCCCTCAGCAGCTGGAATTGGCAGGTAGACATCCAGTGGGGTTGGCTTAGGGGGCTGGGGGCCTTTCTCAGATGAAACCCTCCCAGGGGAGACGGGAGTGGTTAGCTGAGTGCCCAGCTCTGGGTTCTCCAAGGCACCTGACTGTGGTGAGTGGAAGGTAAAAGGGAAAGAGGGAGACCCGAGGAGAGTGAGGTGGTCAGTGGGGCTGAGCCAGCCCCGTCCCTCAAGACACCAGCTGTCTGGACAGCAGATATATATCTACTGTGTTAGTCTGGTCTTTTTGGTTAAACCTTAGGCACCGCTTGGGAGGAAGACACCTTTACAAGTTAAAGAAAGACCCCAGTGCCTCGGCAGGGAGCCTGGCCACATGCAGAGCGGGAGAGCAGGGTGCAGGCAGGGCGGGGGGGGGGGTCAAGCCACTGCAGACTCAGGGCCCCCAAGAGAGGCTGAAGGCCCCGAGGTATAGCGGCGGCCATAACCCGAGGAAGAGTAGGAGGATGATGAGAAGGTCATGGAGAAACCGGAGCCCGTGGCATCAAAACTGCCACGGCGGGAGCCAGCCCGGGAGCCTGTGCGTGAACCAGTGCGTGAGCCAGTGGTGGAGCCAGAGCCGCTGACGCTGTAGGGGCTGTAGTAGCCCTTGCTGGACTGGGCAGCAGCCTCCAGCAGCCGCAGCCCTGTGCCCTCCTCTACCATGCTGCGGTCCAGCGCATCCTTGTAGGAGATCTTGAGCTTGGTCTTGGGACATGTGAGGTACTTGGAATAGGCGCTGACGTCACGCAGCTTCTGGGCTGTGCGAGCATCCACGGTGCCACGTTGCAGGGCCTCATCAAGGGGCACACGGCCAGGTGTGTCGGGCTCAATCAGGCCGCCGGTTAGGTACTGCACCTCCAGGAAGCGCTGGCCTGCCTCGTAGTACAGCCAACCCTTCTTCAGGGCCTGGGCAGCTGACATCTTGGTCTTGGTGCGCGGGTCCTCGAACCCACAGAAGGCTTTCTGGGCCAGGTTGATGCGGTCTACCATGATCTTGTCCACCAGGCCCTTGTTGACTGCCTCAGTGACTGGGAAGCGCTCACCAGTGCTGGGGTCAATGATGCCCCCGGTGCAGGCCTGTGCTTCCAGCAGCCTCTGCCCAGTGATATTGTCCACCAGGTTGCGGTGCATGGCCTCTGTGATAGATACCTTTTCCAGAGTCTCTGTGTCCAGGATGCCAGCCACTGGGCCTGTCTCCTCGGTGGGGTCAGACCAGGAGGCCAACTGGGTCCTAGAGACAGCAGGGCTGATAGGGTAGGAGGAAGATGAACCCACAGAGGAGGAGCGGGAGCGGAAGCCACTGGCATTGCCGGAGAGCATGTCAGCAAACTCCGTGATGGAAAGTGTGCCTGCACGGTACTGGTCCAGCGCCGATTTGTCGATGAGGTTTTTGGTGATGGCATCATCGATGTCATACTGGCGACCAGAGCGGCGGTCAATGATCATGGACTTGACCACACCATCTGAGGAGGAGATGGTGATCTCTTCCCACTCACACTCCTGCTCCGACAGCTCCAGGTACGTCTGGTGGTCAATGAGGCCCTTGCGGTAGGCCTCATACACAGACATCTCCTTTCCTGTCTCAGGGTCCACAATCACCACACGGCGCTTGCGCACCGAGGACTTGGAAGATGTCTTCCGCTCTCGCTTCTTCTCCTTCAGTGGCAGGAGACATAGGCCGGTCTGAGGGTCAGTAATACAGCGCTCCATCAGTTGTAAGTAAGTGAGGTTCTCCTCGGTGTTGGGGTCGAAGAAGCCTTTGGTGTCATCCGAGGGGTCTGTCAGGATCTCATTCATCTCCTCATCAAAGAGGCCGCGCTTGTAGGCCACCTCCACAGGGAGCCGATGGCTCTCCTCGGGGTCAATGATGCCGCCAGTGGCGATCTGAGCCTCCAGCAGGCGGATACCATGGTCCTTCAGGATCAGGCCCTTCTTCATGGCCTGGAAGAGGGAGATGAGCTTCCCAGAGTAGGGATCCTTGTAGCCAGTGACAGCACGCTCTGCTGATAGCAACTTGTCCTTGAACTCAGGGCCCACGATACCCATTCGTACAGCCTCCTCCACAGTCAGCTTGAGTCCCTTAATGGGGTCGATGACGTAGCCAGTGGCTGCCTGCGCTTCCAGGAGCTCAAAGGCTGTGCCGGGGCGGATAATACCCTTCTTCATGGCCTGGTAGACAGAGAGCCGCTCCTTGGTAGCATCGACGAAGACACCGGCAATGCAGCTGGTGCCCTCAAGGAACTTCTGCAGGTTCTTGGTGACCTCCTCGATGGAAGTCAGGCCTTCCTGCAGCTGCAACGCCGTGGCCTCGTCCATGACCTGGGAGCGCACCAGCTCCTCCACAGTGATCTGCTTGCGCAGGCCACGGAAGGTCAGCTTGCGGGTGTCTGAGAGCAGCAGGAGCATCTGACCACTGTTTTCATCACGGCGGCACCGCTTGAGGAGCTGCGTGTAGCTGAGGCGCTCATCGGTGGAGGGGTCCACATAGCTGCGCACCTCACTGGGCTCTGACAGCTGGTCATGAGTGTCCTTATTGAGATAGCCACGCTGATAGGCCACCTCCAGGGGCAGGTGGAAGCCCAGGCGGGGATCCACAATGCCGCCTGTGGCCAGCTGGGCATCCAGTAGTCGCAGGGCCTCCTCAGCTGGGATCAGCTCCTTCTTCATGGCCTGGAAGAGTGAGATGGTCTGCTCAGTGTAGGGGTCACGGTAACCAGTAACAGCCCGCTCTGCAGAGAGCAACCGATCATGCAGCTCAGGGCCTACCAGGCCCTTCCGCACAGCCTCGTCCACAGTCAGTCGCTCCCCCTTCACTGGGTCCAGCAGGAAGCCTGTGGCTGCCTGTGCTTCCAGTAACAAGCGTGCCACTTCAGCGTTCAGCAGCCCCTTCTTAAGGGCCTGGTAGATGGTCAGCGTCTGCCTGGAGCCAGGCAGGTAGACTCCGGCCACTGAGCCTGTACCATAGAGGTAACGCCAGGCAGACTCCATCTCTAGAACCTCACGGAGGCTCTTGGTGCCCTCCCGGAACAGGTTGTAGGTCTCAAGGGAGATAATCCGGGCCTCATACAGGTCCTCAGCAGTGAGGCGGCGGCGCACGTAGTCATAGGAGGCCTGGTTCTGCTGGCGGATGATCTCCGTCTTCTCGATGATCTCGATGATGATAATGATCATGCGCTCCTTGGTCACCCGGCCAGCCTGGAAGTCAGCCATGAGACGGGCCCGCTGATCCTCAGGGATCATATCCGATTGCATCACCTCCCACAAGGACATGGTGGAGCCACCTCGGCTGCCACCACCAGGGATGTCAATCTGAGTCTCTTCAAATGCCCTCCGGGTTTCCTCCTCAGTATACACCTGCGTGGTCTCCACCACCTCCGTCTTCTCTGCCCCTTTTAGGGGTAGGAGGCAGAGGCCCGTCTCAGGATCCTCCACACAGCGCCCTAGTAGCTGCAGGTAGGTGAGGTTCTCATGAGTGTTGGGATCAAAGAAGCCCTTGGTATCATCGCTTGGATCTGCCAGCACACGATTCATCTCCTCATCAAAGTAGCCACGCTGGTAGGCCACATCCACAGGCAGGCGGTGGCTGTGCACAGGGTCTATGATACCACCTGTGGCAATCTGGGCCTCCAGCAGGCGGATGGCATGTTCCCTGAGGACCAGGCCCTTCTTCATAGCCTGGAACAGCGAGATAGTACTGCCTGAATAGGGGTCCTTATAGCCAGTGACCGCTTTCTCGGCTGACAGCAGCTTCTCATGAAGTTCAGGACCCACTACTCCTGCCTTCACAGCCTCGTGGACGTACAGGCGCTGGTTACGTACAGGGTCCACTAGAAAACCAGTGGCTGCCTGGGCCTCCAGCAGGAGTGTGGCTGTGCTAGGTCTGAGGAGGCCCCGGCGCATGGCCTCATATATGGTCACTTTCTCCTTGGAGTCCTCCAGGTAGATGCCAGCCAGGCAGCCACTGCCCTGTAGCAGCGTCCGCACAGAGCCCACCTCTGACAGATCTTTGACTGATATCTTGCCATCCTTGAGCTGATCAAACTGAGATCTGCTGAGGACCTTGGCGGCCAGGAGTTCACTGGCTGGTACAGGGGCACGGAGGCCGCTGAAGGACAGCCGTTCCTGCCGCTGGGTCTCCACCTCCTCGACAATGGTGATGAGGATCTTGATGACCTTCTCCACGGTGACCCTGCCTGTGCGGAACTGTCGCAGCAGCTCCTGCCGCTGTTCCTCTGTGAAGTACTCAGAGCTGATGAGCTCCCACACTGTCATTGCCCTGCCCTTGAAGCTGCCCACAGGAACCTCCACCGTGGCCTTCTCAAAGGTCTCACGGGCCTGGAGCTCAGAGTAGATCTCCTCCTGCCGAGCCCGGGCAGCCTTCTCTGAGAGTGGCAGCAGGCTCAGGCCGGTCAGCTGGTCAGATCGGCACCGCTGCTGGAGCTGGCTGTAGGTGACTGGCTCCCGTGTGCTCGGGTCAAGGTAGACTCTGGCATCGTCCCTGGGTGACGACAGCGCCCTGTTCGTCTCTTTGTCCAGGAAGCCCCGGACGTAGGCAACATCCAAGGGCACACGATGGCTCTTGCTGGGGTCCACAATGCCACCAGTGGACAACTGGGCATCCAGCAGGCGCAGGCCCTGCCCCTGGGGGATGAGACCCTTCTTCAGGGCCTGGAACAAGGAGACACTCTGTCCTGAGTACGGGTCCCTATAGCCTGTCACAGCCTTCTCAGCTGACAGGAGCTTCTCATGCAACTCAGGGCCCACCAGGCCAGCACGCACCGCCTCATCCACAGTCAGCCGGGCACTGGTGGCAGGGTCGATGATGTGCCCGGTGCCGGCCTGGGCCTCTAGCAAGGCCATGGCCACATCTGACTGCAGCAGGTCTTTCTTCAAGGCCTCATAGATGCTCAGCTTCTGCCCTGCTTCTTCCAACCACACACCCGCAATGACACTGGTACCCCGCAGGGCCCGTCGCACACTGTCTGCTTCGGCCACCTCCCTCACAGAACGCTCACCCCGCTGCAACTGCTGGTAGAGGTCTTGGTTGATGACCCCGCTCTCCAACAACTCAGCAGCAGGCACAAGGGCACGGAGGCCCTCAAAGCAGAGCTGGTCCTTCCGCTCATGCTCCTCCACCACCGTGATGACAATCTTGATGATCTTCTCCACTGTGATGCGACCTGTGCGGAACTGACGCAGCAGATCCCGCCGCTGCTCTGCCGTGAAGTACTCTGAATTGATGATCTCCCAGATGGTCACAGTCTTGCCCTGGAACTTGCCAAATGGTGCAGACACAGTGGCCTTCTCAAAGACATCACGGGCCTCTGAGTCAGTGTAGACCAGCTCGCCACCCTTGGCAGCCTTATCTGTGAGTGGCAGGAGGAGCAAGCCCGTCTCCGGGTCCTCCACACAGCGCTCCAGCAGCTGCAGGTAGGTGAGGTTCTCATGCGTGTTGGGATCGAAGAAGCCCTTGGTGTCATCACTTGGGTCAGCCAAGATGCGGTTCATCTCCTCATCGAAGTAGCCACGCTGGTAGGCCACATCCACCGGCACACGGTGGCTGTGCACAGGGTCTATGATGCCGCCCGTAGCGATCTGGGCCTCCAGCAGGCGGATGCCGTGGTCCCTGACGATGAGATCCTTCTTCATGGCCTGGAAGAGGGAGATCTGCTCCCCGGTGTAGGGGTCCTTATAGCCGGTGACGGCACGCTCAGCTGAGAGGAGCTTGTGGTGCAGCTCAGGGCCCACAACGCCCTCCTTCACAGCCTCATTGACAGTCAGCCGCTGGTTCCTCACAGGGTCCAGCAGGAAGCCTGAGGCTGCCTGGGCCTCAAGCAGGATGAGAGCTGTGCCCGGGCTCAGCAGCTGCCTCTGTAGGGCTGCGTAGACACTCAGTTTCTCATTGGTGGGCTTCAGCAGCAGTCCTGCAATGCTGCTGTGGCCCTTCAGGTACTGGTGCACATCCTCCCGCTGCATAAGGTCAGCCACCGTGGTGTGGCCCTGTGCTAGCTGCTGCAGCTCCTCCATGCTCAGAATGCCTGCCTCCTGTAGCTGCTGCGCAGGCACCCTCTGCCGTAACCCCTCGAAGGTATGCTCGGGCTCCACCTCCACAGCTGGGCCATCAAGGGCGTCCCGGCCATTGGGCAGGGCTTTTGTGGCAGCAGCCTGGGCGGTGGCGATCTCCTCAGAGTGTGCCAGTGCAGCCCGGTGCTCTTCCTCCAGACGCTGTAGCCGCTCTCGTAGCCTCTGGTTCTCCTCAGCCAGTAGCTTCTCTTGCTGCTGCCGCTGCTGCTCCAAACGCTGCAGCTCCTCTTGCTTGCGCCGCACGCCCTCCTCCGCCTCACGCTGCCGCCGCCGGGCCTCCTCCATGCTGGCCACCAGCTCCTGTTTCTCCTGCTCCATCTGCTGCTGCTGCTTCCGCTGCTCCTCACGCAGCTGTTGTGCCTTAGCCACCTCACCCTGGAAAAGCTGCTCTAGCTTGGCCTTCTCCTGCTCGATGAAGCGCTCCCGCTGTAGCAGACTGTCCTTCTCAGACAGAAAGCTCTTCTGCAGGGCCTGCGTCTCCTGCATCATCTGTTCCTGCTGCACTGTCTGCATCTGTGGAGGCGTGGGAAAAGGAGGGCAGCTGTCAAAGGATGGAGACCCAGAAGTACCCACCACCCTACCCCAGGGTGGACCACCCCACACCGGCCTGCCCGCCCGCCTGCGAGGAGGGAGGGCGGTACCTCCTCGGACTTGAGCTGCAGCAACTTGGCTTCCTGCTTAAGCTTCTCCTTCTCGCGCTCGAGCTCCGCAATGGCCTCCCTTAGGCGCTCGGCATCGTGGTCACTCTGCTGTCGCTGGATCTCGAGCGTTTGCACCAATGTCACCTTCTCCTGCGTGGCAAGTTCAGTGCGGTGCAGCTTTTCACCAATCTCTTCAGCCTGCTTCCGGAAGCGCTGGGCATCCTCCTCTGCACGGGCCTGGGCCCGGCTCATCTCAGCCATGCGCAGCTTGAGGCGCTCGGCCTCTGCGCTCATCTCCAGCTGCCGCTGCCGCTCTGCCTCCAGAGTCCGCTGGAAGCCCTGTGTTTCCTGTGCCAACTGCTGAGCCATTTGCTCCTTGTCCTCCTGCAGCCTCCTGGCCTGCTCCTGTGCGAGGTCCTTCTGCTGCTGCAGCAGCTCGGCCTCGGCCTTGAGCCGCGTGGCCTCCTGCACAGCCTGCATCTTCTCCTTCAGCATTTTCTCTGCCAGGGCCCGCTGCTGCGCCAGGTCCTCTTCTGCTAGCTGCCGCAGCCGTGCGGCCTCCTGGGCTGCCACACTCAGCCGAGCAGCCTCCTCTGCCACCTGTTTCATCTTCTCCGCCTCTTCCTCCAGGAAGCGCTGTGTGTTGTCCTTGTCACGCAGGATGAGCGCACGGTTCTCAGCCTCGATACGTGCCTTGAGCTTGCCCAGCTCCTCCATCTGCACGCGCACAGAGAAGAGCTCCTCCTCTACCTGGCTGCGCTGCCGGGCTGCCTCCGTCACCTCGGCCTTGAGCCGCTGCAGCTCCTCATCCAGGATGCTCTTCTGGTGGTCAGTCTCCTCCAGCTGCAGCCTGAGCGTTGTCAGCTCCTGCTCCACCTGGGCCTTCTGCCGCAGAGTCTGCTCTGCAAACTTCTTATGCTTCTCCATCTCTGCATCAGCTGCCTGCTTCTGCTTCAACGCCGCCTGCTCCGCCTGTGCCCGGCGCACTGCCTCCTGCTCGGCTTCCTTGCGCAGCTTCTCCGCAGCTGCCTGGGCCTGGGCCTGGGCCTGCGCCTGTTCCTCTGCCGACTGCTTCAGTCGCTCCGCCTCCTCCACTTGTCTCCGAGATTGCGCGGCCTCGCGCTCGGCCTGCTCCCGGGCCTCCTCGGCCTCCTCAGCAGCACGGCGCGCCGCCTCTGCCTCGTTCCGCAGCCGTTCCAGCATGCTCTGCTCTTGCTGAAGTGTCTGCTGCAGCTCCTCCTCCCGCTGCTGCACCGCAAAGGCATGCGCCTTCTCCTCGGCCTGCAGCCGCTTCTGAGCAGCCTCCTGGGCCAGCTGCAGCTGCCGTGCCGACTCCTGCTCTGCTCGCTCCCGAAGGCGCCGTGCCTCCTCCACCTTGGCTTTGAGCCGATCAACCTCCTCCAGTGCAGCCTTGCGCTGCCGCGCGGCTTCTTCCTCAGCCGCCAGGCTCTTCTGCACACGTTCCTCGGCCTCACGGCGCCTCTGCTCCTCCTCGGCGGCCAACTGCCGCTGCCGCGCGGCCTCCAACTCAGCCTGCTCCTTGCTGCGCAGCGTGTCCTCTGCGTTGCTGCGAATGCGGCCCAGTTCTAGCTCCAGCTCTGCCTTGCCGGCGGCTGCCTTCTCAAAGCTCGCCTTCAGCGCCATGATCTCCTCCTCCACCTGCCGCCGCTGCCGCAGCGTATCTTCCACCAGCCCCTTCTGCCGTTCCAGCTCACTTTCGGACGCCTTGCGCAGCTGGGCCAAGCGCTCCTCTATGTCGGCCTTGTGCAGCGCAGCCTGCTCCTCCAGCCGTCGCCGCTGGAAGGCCTCGTCTTCAGCCAGACGCCGCAAGCGCTCATTTTCCGCTTCCTTCTCCTTGAGTGCAATCTCTGCCTCAGTCTTGAGCCGTGTGGCCTCGCTGATGGCCGCCAGCTTCTCCGCAAGCACCCGCTCTGCCTCGGCCCGCTGGCGCGTGGCATCCTCCTCCGCCAGCTGCCGCTGCCGCTTGGCCTCCTCGGCCAGGGCCCGTAGGCGGGCTGCCTCCTCGGCCAACTCGCGAAACCGGCCCGCTTCGGCCTCCAGCCTCTGCTTGGACTTCTCGCTGCTGGAGCGAGATTCCTCCTCGGCGCGAGCCTTGCTGGCCAGCAGCACCTCCATCTCCGCCCGCACCTTGGCCAGCTCGGCCTCCAGCTCTTGGCGCTTCTGCGTGGCCGCAGTCGCCTCACGCTGCAGCCGAGCCAGCTCCTCCTCCAGCAGCTGCCGCTGCTGCTCCCCCTGCTCGGTCTCCGCCCGCAGGCGGATCAGCTCCTGCTCTGCCGCCAGGCGCTGCTGTGCAGTGCCCTCTGCCAGCTGCCGCTGCTTCTCCAGCTCCTGTTCGGCCAGCTCTCGCTGCCTCACAGCCTGCTCCTCCGCCTTGCCACGCCGCCGTGCCTCGCGCTCCGCCTCTTCCTTCTGCTTCTCGGCGTCGGCCTGCGCCAGGCTCTTCTGCTGCGCCACCTCTTCTGCCTGCAGCCGCAGCCGCAGCGCTTCGTTGGCCTTTAGCTGCCAGCGCTCCAGCTCCCGCTCGGCGTCCTCGCGAGCACGCTCGGCCTCGGCTTGCTGCTGCGCCCGCCGCTCGGCCTCCTCGCGCAGCTGGGCCACGGTCACGTGCTCCTCCTGCAGGGTGCGCTCCAGCTGCGCCGTCTTCTCCGCGAAGGAGGCACGCTTGCTCTGCAGCTCTGCCTCTGCGCTGCGCTGCGCCGTCTCCAGCGCTACCTGGACTTGGCGTGCCCGCTCTGCCTCTGCCTGCCGCAGCCGCCGCTCAGCTTCCTCCGCCTGCAGCCGAAGTTCCTCCAGGGCCTGCAGGGCCCGCTGTTTCTCTCGAGCGGCCTCGGCCTCGGCCTTCACGCGCAAGGCCAGCTCTGCCTCTGCCTGCCGCTTGCGCTGGCTCTCATCTTGCACCTGTCTCCTCAAGCGCTCAGCTTCCTCCTGAGCCTGCCGTTTCTGGGCTTCTGCCTCCTCCGCCCGAGCGCGCAGAGCCTGCAGCTCACCCTCCGCCCCTCCACGCTGACGCTCTGTTGTCTCCAGCTGCAGACGCACCACACGGATCTCTTCCTCGATGCGTAGCCGGCTGCGCTCAGCGGCCTCCACCTGCTGGGCCTTGGCCTGGATCTCTGCCTCTGAGCTCTGCCGCAGATGCTGCAGTTCCTCCTGTATGCTGCGCTTCTGCTGCTGTGCATCCACTGCTGCCTCCTCACGACGCGCCACCTCCTCCTGCATGCGCCGCTGCAGTTCCTGTGCCTCCAGCTCAGCCTGCGCCTTGGCCTTGGCATGGGCCTCGGCTAGCTGCCGCTGCTTTTCCAGCGCGGCCTCCACCTCGGCCAGCCGCTCCCGCTCCTCTGCCCGCTGTTGCTCAGCCAGCCTCTGTGGGCGGCGGCAGAGATAGGAAGAGAACCAGAGACAGTGTGAGCGTGGGGCAGGCGCCAGGCACGCACAGGACACGGTGGGTACCACCACAGTTCACTTGGACAGCGCGATTTGAGGGGTCAGGGAAGACAGAGGTCCCAGCCCGGCCAAGGAGACAGCGTGCACCCGCCCAGGGCACTCAGACAGCGAGCACAGCAGCCCCACCATGCTCACCAGCCTGGGGAAGGAGGCCCAGGCGTCCTCCCCTCTTCCCGCAGACAGGCGACGGAGACAGATGGACAGGGAGAGAGAGAGAAAGAGCAAAGCAGGAGGCTCGCAGGGCCTGCAAGCCATACCCACCAGACCTGCCTGACTTCTACCAGACCCTACAGGCCGGCTTCCACCACCAGATCCCTCTCCGCTCACAGGGAGCTGTTCCCAAAGCCCAGCAGGGTGGGGCATGGTGAGACAGCACGAGTAGGAACAGCGGTATAGACCGGAGCCAGCTCAGTGGGCCTCCCAAGCCAGCAAAGAGGCGGCAAGAGCTTCAGGCAGGCCAACAGCAAGGTCACCGGGAGTTAAGGAACTGTGACAGGTGCCACCACGACTGACCAAGGTACCCCAGGATCCCTCTCTTCCAGACCCCGTGGCCCAATACACCAACTCTTGCCAGAGCAAGAGGCCAAGTGACACCAATACAGATTCCCCAGGAAGAACACGCACGAGAGCCAGAGGGAGGCGGGTGGGAATGCTCGCCAAGAAGTGAGGAGGCACTAGCCACCATGAGAGCAGAGCAGTGCCAGGTCAAGGTGGGTCCACAAGTAAGGGCAGCCTGGGCAGCCGTGCTGGGGGAGGGGGACACTGGGCAGCACCAGGCAGGGGTGTGGAGTGAACTGCAACAAGTGGTCTCCATCTGAGGTACTATGAAGCTGAGGTTCCCATGGGCTGTATTTGGGATCGGGAGGGAGGACATCCCCCACCCAGCCCACATAGCTCCAGCCATACCTCCTCCTCCTCCATGCGGCGCAAGGTCTCGCCGATGAACTTGATATACTGACTTGTGAGTGTGGTCAGCTCACTGTAGCGTGTACGCAGATCCACATACTGGGGGAGAGTGGAAGTCAATCAGCCTTGTTGGGAACTGACCCCATGAGGTCCATCTAGCTTCTTGCCCAGTTTAGGCTTGGCCCACCTCCATCCTACCTCCTGGATGACACTCTCCGACCCAGACTGGACCTTCGGCTTCTTGGCTGGGGAGGCCACAGGCTCGAGCTGTGCCTTGTAGGTGACCAGCTGGAGTTCATAGTCCTATAAGTACAAATGGTCATCAGCTGCCAGTTCTGCCCTACTGGTCATCTGGGCTGCCCTCCCTAAACACACACGCATGCACGCAAGCACACACTCATGCACATTGCCTCACAGACGTTCCCTGGCATAGCCCAGCCTCGAGAGGGTCTCTCCCCAGAGTCCAGTGCTTGCTCAATTGGCAAGTGTGCCTAGGCTGTAAGTTTGGGACCTGAGAGGCCTCACCTTGATGGCATTGATGTACTGCTTGGCGAACCTTTGGCATTCCTCCACCTTCTCGCCATGGCGCTCAATCTCCTCCAGCAGGGCCTGAGAGAGGACGGTGGTCAGTGTCGGGCTACAGGCTGCACCCCATCACATACCAGGTCTATTCTGGGCCTACCTTCTCCTGCCTCAGTTGTTCCCTTGCAGCCTGGACATTAGCCATGGGCACAGCCTGGATCTGCTCCTGCCGCTGCTTGGCATCCCGGAGCCAGGCACTCAGAGGGTCTGCGCTCTCACGGTAGTACCGCAGCTGACGGCCCAGTTGCTCAAGCTCACGCTGCCGCACATCAGTCTGGGCCAGCACTGCCTGCCAGCGCTCCAGCAGCTGGGAGACACGCTCTCGCCAGCGCTCCACCTCCACATCCCGCTCTCCGTGCCGCTGCTGCAGCCGCTCGCCAACCTCGCGTGCCCCCCGCAGCTCCTCTCTCAGGGCATCGAACACAGGCTGCTGTGCCTCTGCCTGGGCTCGCAGCTTCTGTTGGGCAAGGTAGGGACGTTGCCCTTTCAGCAACCTACTGACCCCTCTCCCCAGTGAAGCACAAGTCCCAAAATGGTACCTTTAGTGAGGCTTTGGTGGCTTCAAGCTCCGGGAGAGTGGCAGGCACAGCCTGGGCCTCCTTGAGCTGCTCCTCATGGGCTTTAAGAACCTCCTCGGCCCCCTGGGTGCTGCGAATCACCAGGCTGATGGTCTTGAGTCTGGGTGAAGGATCATTAGGCTCAGAGCCAGGGCACATGGGGGCTCAAGCAACACACCCTGGAACCGCTAGGTGCCTCTAGCCACACCCAGCGCCAGCCTGGCAAGAGCCCAGTAGTCAGCCAACACCTGTGGTCAGCAGCTTCACGTGAACAAAAGAGCCTTAAGAAGGTGTTCACTTAAGCTGCAGTTGGAAGTCCTGGAGGGAGGATGCCCCAGCCACCTTCCAGCTCAAGACTTGCTGAACAAATCCAGGTGGGAAGGGCACCATGTGCCCGACAGTAATGTTCTTCTCAAGCAGTACATTAGCTTTTGTGAATAAAGGGTGGATGTACTACATAATACAGTAATACATGTTAAAAACAAATGCTGACGCCTAGGAAGACCATCGAGGCAGATGCCACAGTACACTTCTGAAAGTCAGTTCCTGTGAATGGCCTGCAGTGCCTCCAAATCAAAATATGCTGAAATAGGGCTGGAGAGATGGCACAGCAGCTAAGAGCACTGACTGCTCTTCTAGAGGACCCAGGTTCGATAACCAGCACCCACATGGCAGATAACAACCATCCGTAACTCCAGTTCCAAGAGATCCAAAACCCTCCTCTGTCCTCCTCAGGTACTGCATGACATGGGTGCTCTTGCATACATGCATGCAATTTACTTGTACACATAAAATAATAGGGTATTTTTTAAATATGCTGAAATGAACAGAAAGGAAAGGGCAGGAGCCCTGCTGCTGGGCACAGGAGACAGGCAGGGAACAGCTGGGCCCTGAAAGGAATCTCATGCCACCAAGAACTCAAGCAAGAGAGGACCCTAAGAGGATGAGGTCAGGAGGCCTGGAGAGCCTCTTACTGCCCTGTCCCTCCTCTAATGTACAGTCCTAGCTACTCTCAGGTCTCCATTATTCTCCATCAAGAAACTTGTCTCTCAAAGTGACCAAGGCCATCTGTGTGGTGGGTCCCTCCCTTTTAACCCACCGGCCTGGCCGCACCTGGCAGCTCTCCCTCCCTCCCATGTTCCCTTCTATCCACAACATGGACCGTCCTCTGTTCCAACCCGTTCTCTCCCCTCACTCCTCACTCAGCTGGCTGCTGGCTGGTGTCCCCAAGTCCATGACTTCCATTCTTGGCACCCAGTAGTCAGCACTGTGTCCTTTACCCCACAACCCCACACCTCACAATCCCATTAACAGAAGTCTTGTGGGTACAATCTTCAAAATGCATCAGGATCTGAGCAAGTCTTTTCACCACCATCCCCTGACCAGGTCACCCAACTGCCCCCAGCCCCTTTGCCTCCCCTATCCTCTTTTTCCTCTGCTCTAACACATCTGAGCTCACTGCCCTCATCAGAGCCTGACCCACCCAACCCCTCAATCTGCACAGGAGCACTCACTTCTCCAGATAGATGGCAGACAAGCTGCGGACTTGTTCCAGCTTGCCCAGCGTCAATTCCAGCTCTGAGCGCAGAGTAGGGGCAGCAGGTGATGGTTCTGGCAAGGCCAGGACTTTCTCAGCCTCTGCAGAGAGTCGGGCAACCCCCTTGCCCAGCCCTTCCACCTCAGCTTGTGCTTTCTGTGGAGAGACGGAGTAGGGGCATGTTGATCAGCAAAGCCCAACACCCAGGATGCCTTGGAGGCGAAGGAGGTGCAGGCAGATAGGGAGAATGAGCAAGGAACGGGGACAGCGCCTGCCTGTTGCTCTGCGATGCGCTGGGCGCACTCCCGAGCAGGTTCTTTGTCCAGCGGCAGCCGCAGACGGTGCACAATGCGAGTCTCGCAAGCCTCCAGCTGCAGTCGGATATCCTTGAGCTCCGAGATGCAGTGCTGACAGCGAGACTCCTCCTGCTCGCCTGGGGAAGCAGCCAGGTCACTCTGCTGGCTCACCTACCTCCTGCCTGCCTGCCTGCCACCCTACCAGGCCCTGACCACCCCATACCCTGCTCCAGGCTCTGTAGCAGCTGCTGGTAGTGGCGGCTGCAGGATCCATACTCCCGCTCTGCTGCCAGCCGGTCCTCAGGCCCAAAGCCACCGGCATCCTGGCTGTCTCGCAGGAAGGCCTGGTAGTGCAGCTCCAGACTGCGCAGGGCTTGGCGCTGCTCCTCTGGCTTCAGTGTGCGGAACTGGAGGTGGCACACAGAGTTGAGCATGGAGCCAAGCCAGTTGGTGCCCACAAGACACCATCTCCATCTCCCTTCCTTCCCAGTGCCCACGGCCAGTGTGCAGTCCTACCGTGACCAAAGACCAGGAACGGATAAGCTGGACATCACGGCTGAGGCTCTGCCATGCCAGAAGACTCTTCATGTCTACATGCAACTGGTGCCACAGCGCAACCAGTGCCTGGTGCTGGGCCTCCAGCCTGGTAGACAAGGGTCACCACAGTCAGGGGTGCCTAGAGCCCTTTTCACTGTCCACAGATTCCCCTCCAGCTGTGAACCCCCAGGTCACCCACCTGGTGATGGCATCCAGGGCCTCCTGGTTGGGTGGTGGCACAAGAAAGCACACAGAGGGCACGGCAGCCTCACTGCTGGAGCTGCTGAGCACTTTCCAATGGGATGGCTGGGCGGGACCGACCAGCTGGCACTGGTCACCTTTGTGCACGGTCACCTGGGACAGCCAGAGTAGGTAACAATGTGGCCATGCCTATACCCCACCCACCTCCTCTTGATTGGGCACAGCCTGGCTCAGCCTTTTACCTCCACCTGCTTGTAGTCACACACAGCCAGCAAGGGTACATGGCCCCGCACAGGGTGGGTGGGGTTGCGTGGTTTCAGCTGCACAATGGCCTTGGCCCGCTTGGCCAGGCCTGAGAGGTGCCCCTTGTACTCATTTAGCTGCTCCTTTTCGTCCTGTGGGGAGGGGAGGTTCAGGGTCAACCCATCTGGCTCTGGATGCAGGGATACCTGGCCTAGTAGGCAGCAGACACCCCCAACATCCCTGGATAGGTTGGGGGAGGAGGGACTTCCCTAATGCTGGGGGTGAGGACACTTGAAGGCAGGTGTGGTTGTGGCAGGGTACAGGGCCCTACTGTAAGTTGATGCCACTGACCCCCTCTCTCCAAATCAAAGACTGTGTTCCCCACTCTTTCCCCAGGTCACTCCTCCATCCTCCACAGAAGGATATATGCTAGGGCCTACCTACACTCCAGCCCGGTCAATGGTCCCACCCCTGTTCCCTCCCCTCTAGCTGCAGGTCATCTTCTCCAGCTAACTTGGGGGGTAAGTGCAAACCTCACCAAGAGCTGTTCAGGGCTAAGTGGTCAGAGTGCCCGGCCCTCTCCCATCCTCTCTGGCAGGTGTTGTAGCTGTGACCCCAGTCTTTGCTGATCACAGAATCAGTGTCCTATCACTTCACTTCTACTCATCATCTACAGTGCTGTGAACATCGTAGATGCCCCCAACCCTGTCCTAGGACATATGGGCACCACATCCATCTGTCGACCTGCCCTCCACAGCTCTGCAGGCTAGGCCTGCTCCAATCATCAGGTCAGGAGCCAATGTTGGTCCACAACCACAGGGCTGGTGATCCCAGCAGATAGTCCACTCAGAAGTAGGATCTAGAGTTGGAGCTCATGTCAGACCCACCAGTCATGCACCTGCCACCAACCTGTTTGCTGCACACCCACCTCCAAGGTGCACCCCTAATCCTGTTGGCCTTCCATCCCACCCATGGGCACCAGACAGTCCATGGTCTAGTCAGCCTGTCCCTCTGCCTTGCTCATATCTGCCTCACCTGGGCATCCTGCAGCAGGTCCTCAAGCCTGGTGACAGTGATGGAGCGGTCACAGCTGTACTTTCTACGCAGTGTGTCCTGCAGCTTCTGTAGCCGTTCCTCAGCCTCCCGAACGTCTGAGAAGAACTGGGGCAGCAGAAGGGGTCAGGCTGGGCTGATGGAGCCCAGCACCCAGCATAGCATGAGAAGCAAGCCCTGAGGGGAGGGGTTCCAAAGACTGGGAAACCCTGAGAGGACCGGAAGTCAGGGCCACACATCTGCCGGGGTACTGGGGGCTCTTCCAGGGCACTGTAGCTGAGCCGCAGGGGAGAGCAAGGCTCTGGTTCTCACCTGGAAGTAGGCGGTGTTCTCTTTTAGGTGCGCCTCGATACAGCAACACAGCTGCAGCATCCAACTCCACTGGGTCTGCAAAGCCGCCTGGAAGGACTGTGGACAGCGAGGCTCTCAGGCCCCAGAACCACCCTACCAGTCCCACCGCCCTACCCCCACGGATGCCTACAGTGGCTCCCTGCAGCCGTGCATACCTCTACTGTAGGCCGGGCAGGGTGGTCTTCCCGCAGCAGCCGGTCCCCCGTGTTCTGGATCTCCTTGATCTTCTTTTCCTTCATCTCCAGCTCCCTCATCAGGGCCTGACACGGGAATAAAGGGTCTCAGGGACAGTGTCAGGAAGGCTGTCAAATGCAACCCCAGTCTCCATAGAGCCTGGAGATGAACCTGACCAGCCACTGAAGCAATTCCCAACAGTGGAGGGCAGTGTAGACATGTGGGGGAAGGACAGGAGGGGGTGATCATGGGAGCACTGTGAAGGTCGGGCTGCCTCACCGAGTAGCTCTCCTTCTTGGCGGCCATGTTGGTATTGCGGTCACTCCAGTCGAAGCCCACCTCTTCCTCCTCCTTCTCGTTCAGCCACATCAGCTCCTTGGTGGCTGCCGCCACAAAGCCATGCAGGCTCTCCAGGGACCGGAGGCGGGCCTTGGAGGAGTTCTGCTGGCAGGCAGAGAATGAGTCCCCGACCACTGCTGCCTACCCCTCCCAGCTACCTCCAGGCCCCTACTCACCAGCAGCTTTGCATACTGCAGGTCTAGTCGGCCCAGGCAGTCACGGTAGGCACCCCGGGTGGCAGGGGAGAGCTGGCTCTGCAAGAGATAAGCAGTGAGGCCTGCAGTGGCTGGGGGCCCATCCCATGACCCACTGCCTACTCCAGGGGTGCCATTTACCTCATCATTCCGTGCCCGCTCGATCTTGGCCCGAAATTCCTCAATAGACTGGTGCAGGCCTCGGTGGCTGCCCAGCTGCGCCTCCACGCTGGGTAGGTCCACACCCCACTCAGAGCTGTCTATCCGGCGCTGGTTCTCCTCCACCCAGGCCAGCAGGTCTTGCAGGTAGCGTAGGGTAGAGTCTTCTAGCTCTGGGCGCCTCTGTGTACTCTGCAGGGTCACCTGGGTCACAGGGGCAGCTACTCCTGCCTTCAGCCGGAGGTTGTACTCGGTGCGGATGGCTACCAGGCGCTCATGCAGATGATACACCCTGAGAACGCACAGGAGTTGGGGAGGGGGTGTCAGATGGACCCCAGGCCTCCCAATCCAGCCTGCCCAGGGTATGGTACATACCTCCGGTACATCTGCTCACCCTGCGGGTGCCTCCCATCTTTAAGGGTCTGAACATCATTGAACAACAGCCGGATCATATTATCGGCCTTGTCCAGGTCCCTCTCCACATCCCCGGCCCTCTGCGCCACCTTGCCTGATGCCAGCAGTCGAATATCCTGCGAAGACAGTCCTGTGTGACTTGGCCCTGCTGATGCTCCTGCTCACCGCCCAGGGTCCTCAGCCAAGGCTGCCCCCTCACTCACTTCCCCAGCCTGAGACCAAGCCCTTAGTTGGCTCACAGCCTTGGTATCCCCATCCTTTCCTTTCCCTCTCTGGCAACCCCACACATCTTCCCAGCGTGCTTCTGACAAATCTGCATCTGCTGACTCTCTGGGGGATCAGGATCCAGTCCAAAGTAATCCTACTAGGTCCAAGGACAGAGACCAACAGAGCCTTGTCCACAGAGCCCTAACCCTCACCCTCCATCTATCATATAACTTTCCCTTCGAGAAACTCCTGTCCAGGCACACACAACCCTGTGCTTTCTGGACCCCACGGCCACTCAGCAATAGGTCTGGGGACTCCTCACCACCCACTCCCTGAAGTGAGGGGTTGAGGAAAAGAGGGCCATCCTGGGATGAGGCAGGCAGGCAGGCACAAAGTCCTGCCTGATGGCCAGAGGCCCATTCTGCCCACAACAGGAGGTCAGAATTGGCAGCACACCAGAAGGACAGCACTAGTTTGGGCCTGGTTTTCCCGCCCAAGTGCCACACCCTGTGCTTGTAGCTCAGGAGGCCACACCCCTAGCTGCCAACAGCTCAGGGCTCCCCTCCACCTCCCTCATGCCTGGAGGGAGGCCCACTCCCGCCCCTTGCCCCGCCTCTCCCCTCTGCCTTACCGACTGAAGCAGGGCGTCGGCCTGGTTCAGCTGCTCCTCGCACAGCCCTGCCTCCATCTGCAATTTGCTCACAATGCGTTGAAGACACTCCAGCCTATGGCCCAGAGCACCCCAGAGATCCACAATGAGCCAACGAGCCCACCACGTTCCAGGGCTGAAGAGCAGTTTCCCTCTGCTCTGGCCTCACTGCCTGCCTGGGGCGCACTGTCCTGCTCGCCCTGAGCACTGCAACTTGGGTTCCCCAGCCCCGGGGGGGGGGGGGGGGGGTTTTTCCCCCCCGGGCGGGGCCCCCCCCGGGGGGGGGGGGTTTTTCCCCCCCGGGCGGGGCCCCCCCCGGGGGGGGGGGGTTTTTCCCCCCCGGGCGGGGCCCCCCCCGGGGGGGGGGGGTTTTTCCCCCACAAGGAAAACCCACCCAGGGGGGGATCCCCTCCCACCACCGGGCCCCCCCCCCCCTGTGCCCCCCCCCCCCCCCGGGGGGGGGGGGGGGGTATTTCCTCCTCAGGCAGTGACTCACCCTGGGGTGGCTCCCCTACCACCACAGGGCCCCACCCGCCTGTTGCCTCCCACACTGCCTGCTACCCTCCACAATGCCCACCTCTCAAACTCGCTCCGGAGCTGCTTCTCCCGCTCCAGGATGGCCACATGCAGCTTGCCCCATTCCTTTTCCACATCCAGTGGGTGGTAGCCGGGGGGCACCTTGAGCTGACCTGCTTGTACCGCCCCCTGTGAACAGAGGCAAGCTCAAGCCTAAATTGGACACTGGGATTCCTGGGCTCTTATCTCCACTGCAGTGCAGAAAAACCCTGGTCCCTGAGCTCTAGGTAAGATCAAGCCACACTCTGGAGGCACACCAGGCTCTGGGGCTCAGGAGACCCCAATTCACCTGCCCTGGGGATGCCTGACTCTCCCATCCCCAGATACCCCAAAACCCCACTCACTTCCCTAGGGCATACCCACTCACCTCCAAGGACTGGTAGATGCCTTTGGACCGGTTTTTGTCTGCCTCCTTGGCAGGAAGCTCTGTCTCCTTAAACTTCAAAAACTGGCACCATAGGATCTGTAGGCACAACGGGTGTCAGCAGCCATACCAAGACGGGCAGAGGACACAAGCCCAAGCAAGTAGGCCCACCTCAATCTCTTCAAAGCTGGAGGGGAACCTGCGTTCCTCAAAGGCAGCTGTATGGTGCCGGATCCACTGTAGCAGCAGCAGCACAAGCTCCCGATACTCCTGCCAGCGAAGCTGCAGCTCCTGTGAGTGAGCACAGGGGTGAGCGAGCAGCCATCAGGTCCTGGGTCCTGGGCTGAGGCCGAGGCCCACCCTCCCACCCTCCTTGGGTCACCACTCACATTGGCCCTCACCCCATCCTGTGCGCCAGGCACACGGGGCATGGCATCATAGAGAGATGAAACATAGGTGATGATAGACTTCTCGTCAGGTTGAGGGACATCCACATCTGCAGAGAAAGGCAGAGTCAGTGGAGCCTAAGCAGCCAGGGGTGGCTGGTGGGAAGGGCCAGTGGCTCATACCTTCTGGGTCCAAGAGCCTTGTCACCCCCAGGTCCCGCTCTGCCACAGAGAAGGCCTGGTCCAGATTCTCCAGGTTGGTCTGACGATATACCTTATTCATATCAATGAGCATGGGCCTGTGGACAAGTGGGCAGGGGACCAGAGAGGCCCACTGAGTAGGGCCACACAGACACATTCCTCCACACATCCTGGCAAAGCTAGAGCCCCACCCTGTATCCTCTGAAGAACACACTACCTACTCCACTAACACTGCTAATCCTTCCACGGGGGCACAGCTGAAAGAAGCCAGCTGTACCGTTCCCCCAGCAGCCCAAGAGGCCTAGTGGTCACCAGCACAGAAGTAGTGCATTGATTGGTATATATCAACTTGGGTTTCTACAGCCTCCCCACCCATCGTGAGGGTCCATGCAGGCCTGCAAGAACAGAAGTGGCTCCTGAAGGGCCCAGGAGGAGACAGGAGGGGCCCTGCTGCCAGGCACCTCCCAGAGGAGGCTGCTGGCCTTGAGCTCATCCCCGCAGGTGCCAGGTTGCAGACACTCTCCCTGCCACCTCTCTGCCCTGACGTGTTTGAGGTCCCCCAATTGAAGTACCCCAACCTATTACTGCCCTCCTCTGTTCCATGGGAACACGTACTTGTGCCGGTGAATGATGGCATTAAAGAGGCGGCCATCACGCCAGCTGGTGGTGAAGTTGTCACAACGCAGGCCCTGGTAGCCTTCCACCATACGCTGTGACCAGAGGAGCAGCTTCTCCTTAGCTGTCATGTCCTCTGACTGGCCGCTCACCTGGATGTCTGAGATCTGCCATATGAAGCAGAGTTAGCCCTGGCCACCTGGCCTGCCTGATCATTCACACCACCAAATGACCACTTGCATAAGAGCAGGCAACTGTAGTACTCGGGGCTCCCCAGCCACCTGGGGCACAATGGGGATTCCTGGGGCTGGGACCTGCCACATATCAGTCTCAAACCCAGGCCACTCCAGCTAGCAGCTTCCACAGAAGATATCAGGGTTCCTCACTTCTACTGTCAAAGGGTGGATTCCCTGGCAGCCCCTTAGCTGGGGGAAACTGGAGTGTACCCTAAACCCCCAGCATATAACAGAGGTGGTGGGCAGCTGGTACAAGAGCAGCTACAGACCCTTAAAGTTGGTCCAGCTGTTGTAGAGGGGCAGGGGCAGGTCAAGACCTCTCTCTGGTTGCAGGCTCAGGTAGACGGAGTGATGTCAGGGGACTGGGCATGGTATGTGTGTCTGGCAGCTTGGCCCTAAGTCCAATCTCAGTCTACCAGCCTGCCTGCCATTGGTGCGTGTGCTAGCCTGTCCCTAACTGTTGACCTGCCAGCCCATGTGACTCAGCTACTGTGCCAGTCTGGCTTTCAGGCCCAAGATCTTAGATTTGTGGCTTCCTGTGTGGCCAGCACAGGCAAGGGGTGAGTCAGCCATGGCAGCCCTGTAGCTCCAGAAGCGTCCCCAGGCAGCCCCCAGAAGATGCATTCCTTCACAGGGAGGCTCTGAGGGCCCTGCCCAGCCAGAGCCAGAGGGTAGAGAACAGGCAGGCCTTGGAGAGAGGATTGCACCCTGAGGCCACACAACCAGCATGGGCTGGGGCTGACAGGAAAGTTCAAGGGTGCCACCTCCCAGGCCATACCCCAGTTAGAAAGAGGGCCAACCTACCAGCCAAGGAGGCCACAGAAACACTAGGGGTCAGTGGCTGGAAAGGAGAGAGAGGGAGGGTAGGTGGGGAACCACCCACCTGGAAGTGCAGGATGATTGTCCAGATCAGGCCGAGGGTCAGCTTGGGGTTGCCATCAGCAATGTCATCATTCCTTATGTTCACCAGCTTCACCTAAGAACAGTCGCAGCCCACAAGACAGACATTCAGGAAAGGGGCCAGGAGGCCTGGGGCTCAGCCTGAGGCCAGGTAGACAGCCTTACCTGGCGGTGCCGGAGGTAATCCAGGGCAATCTGGACATTCTGCAGCTTGTGGAAGCGCATCCTCCCCTTCTCCCGGGGCTGAAAGGAGCCAAGCCATAGTCAGGGTCCACAGGGCAACTGCAGTTCCCAGGCCCCACCCTTTAGTTGCCCCAAAGCAGCAGCAGCACCAACTAAACCAAACGTCTTTCCCCAGTATTAACAGCCCTTCCCTCATCCCATGTTCACCTTCCCCAGCTGGGTGACCACCAGCCCAGGGGCAGGCTTAGAAAGCCAGCAACCCAGGCTGTGGGAAGGAAGGAAGGGAGTGGGGAAGAGACAATAGCCAGGAAGCCGCAGGCGGAGGGCAGTGGCATTGGAGTAGGGTCCTCGGCGGTGGCCACTGCAACTTCGGGCGAGTCTCTGGCCCGGCCCCAGGCGGGCAGCAAGGGGGACAGCAGGCAGCTTGACACATAGCCATCTGCCCACCCGGGAGCCAGGTGTGGACCAGACTGGACCGGCCTCCAGCCCCAGGTGAGCTGGGTGGTAGGCTCCTCAGTCTTGGGGAGCCCACGTGCCGCCATGCCAGCAGGCACGACCACTCACCAGGCGCAAGCTCCTGATTACGTCCCGCTCCCTCGGCTGCCCAGCCAGAGCAGGGCAAAGGGTAAAGGGCAGAGGTCAAGATTCAGAGTCCAAGCAGCAGAGAAACCAAGAGCAGAGCAGAGCATGAGGTTACTGTGTTAGAGCCCGAGCGGAGGACAGCGGGGGTTATTCATAGGCCTGGCCCATTGGCTATGACACATACATCCTGGCCCGAGAGGAGCAGCGGGGGTATGGGGAGGCTTGAGAAGGCTCTCGAGAGGGGGCTGGGCTGGGCACTGAGTGGGCAGTAGGGAAAGGCCCCAGGGAAGGAGGGGAGGAAGCCAGGGCCACAGAGGAGGAGAAGGACACACATACCAGGCTGTCCCCTGAGAGGACCTCCAGCAGGGAGATGAGGTTGTGGCCATCACGGAGGTCTTCATACAGGTCACTGATGTGCCTCTGAGCCTGTGGGAACAGCAGGGACCAGGGCGGCCACAGGTTAGATTCCTTAGAACCACTTAGGGCAAAGGACAGAGCAAAGCACCAGGCACTGCCTAGGGTGGGGAACGGCAGGGGCACGGAGCACACCCCTGTCCCATGCAGGCACCTACCTCTGCCCTCCAGTGCTACAGCAGAGAACAGGAGAGACCAGAAAGAAGGGAAGAAAGAGACAGGAGTGAGTGTGGGAGGAAAAGACAGAAAATAACAGGTCTCAGAGATGAAAGGGGAGTTGGGCAGTATGAGAACACCCTGGAGATATGTGGGCTGGAAACCTCCCAATTCCCAAGCAGATACCACTAACCTTGATGAGATGCTTGTTGACCCACTTGGTGAAGGTTTTCTTCTGCACACGGTCCCGTTCATCTGAGCGAGACAAGAACAGTTTACTTAGAGCCAGAGAGAAGCCAAGGGGGGCCCCCAGATTGAGTCCCGTACAGACACAGTGACCTGGGTGGTGAAACTCTGCCTTAGGTTCCACCAGGCCTTTCCCAGATGAGAGAGACTCAGGTTCCCCAGGAGTCCTCCCCACAGAGACACCAAGGTACCCGGGGAGGAAGCTAGACCCAGAGGGTGCTGTTGTTTAAAACCTCTATTGTCTCAAAAGGAGAGGGGAGGTCTAGAGCCACCGCACCCAGAGCCCACAGAATACAAGTCCCAGCCTGCCCCCACATCCCATTCTGCCTCCCAGGCTAAGGAGAAGCATGACTGGCAAAGCTTTTACAGGGGAAGTCAAGTCTCCCTAACAGGACAAGAGGCCTTCCCAGGGGCAGAGAACCCCAGGCATCCTGGTCCCAGGCTTCTAGCCACAGGAGGGTCCGTTCCTGCCACAGAGGCCCAGCCCGGCAGGAATGCCAGCTACCTTTCTTGCCCTCGGAGGCCCTGAGCACAGCCAGATAGAGGTTGTCCTCGGAACTGGTTCTCTTGCCACCCAAGCCCTCAGGCTCGGGCACACGGAGCCGGTGCTGAGACATGGTGCTGTCCCTCCCCTTCGTCACCCTGTCCCTTGGCCTCCAGGTGCTGTGTTCGGTCTGGGCAACCCCTCGTGGCACACAGGCTGCTGGACACTAACTCAGGCTCAGCTCAGACTGGAGTCCCTGCGGCCACTCCCTGCCTGTACTACTCCCCAGCAAGGCAGTCCCACCCCAGGAACCCTATCCTGCCTTGCCCGCCCCCCAGAGGGGAGTGTCCCTGCGGGAAGGAGGAAGACAACCCCTCCCCCATGGCCACACCCTCAGCCCGCCAGAAACAGGAAACAGGGGTTTCCTCACCCACCCTGCCCACAGCAGCAAGGCCTGGGTACAGGGATAGGGGAAGAGTCTGGCTCTGGTACCAGGAATGCAAGGGAATACACACTACCCCCATGACCACCCAGAAGGATCTCCTACCACACAGTGGTGTCAGAGTGGCCAACTCCAAGGCAATGTCTGCCTACTTCCTTGCTTGGAGACTCCAGAAGAAACCTCTAACCTATAGGACATCTGGGGGTGGGGACCAGCTACATCTACTTCTTAAAGCTCCCCTAAGTCGCACCTCCTCAAACCTGCACTGAGCTGGGATCATGCCCTACCCAGTGCCCCCCCCCAACTGTTAGGATTTCAGGCCCTCCTCACTTTGGCAGAGTCTCCCCCAAGATCCCACAAAGCCTAGCCAACCCAGCCAGGCAAAGCACACCTCAGGCTAAAGCAGCTCATAGCTGAGCAGTGACTCATCGCAGCAGGGAGGCCCAGCCCAAGCTGCAGGGACACCTCCCCATTAGGGGTGGGAGAAGCCGGGAGGATGGGGGAGTGGGGAGCACACGGGCAGCGCACAGCCCACTCATGAGTCAGGTCTGAGGAGGGGGCCTGGGTACAGTGACTCACTGGAAAAGAAGCTTGTACCTTGGAGCATGATGGGGCCGTTTGCAGCAGGGTAGGGCTGGCAGATAGCAGCTGTTACAGGTTGTAAAGGTGGAGGAGCTGGGCAAAGGGCACAAGGGCCCCTCTGACCAGACCTGTCTATTCACAGATTATGGCTCCCTCAGGTCAGCAGACGGTGCCACCTATAGCCAGCATCTGGGACTGCCCAGCCAGCCCCACCGTAGGAAAACATGCACCACCCCAGACCACAAGAATTTTCCAGCCTCTGTTTCGGCCTTGATTTGATCCAGCTGTGAGTTGCTGAAGAGGAACACCCCGCTTCCCACAGCACCTCCGGCCTCTATTCTGGGAAAAGCGCACCAGATGCCACCCTTGCTGCTGCCCTGTATGGCCACAAGAGGGCACCAAAACTCTGTGGGGCTGAGACAGGGACCTAAGGAAAGCTTGAAGCCCCAGCCCCACACAGAGCTCTGCCAAGTGTCTTACACCTGCCTTTCAGGTGAAGGAACCCCTCAGACTGCAACACAAACCCTCTTGCTCTGTCCTTTCTGGCCCAGCAGCCACCACACCCCACTAGAGATGACTTGCATTGTGTCCGTCATCGTCGTGTCCGTCATCGTTGTGTCCGTGTCCATCTGCGTCGTCCCCTTCCCCAGCCAGAGGCCCTTCAAAACCCCAAATCTGACTCCACATGGGTAAGTGCTAGGGTACAGTGCTCCTGAGAGCTGTTCACACTGGAGCACAGAGCAGGCCAGTAGATCTCCCAGCCAGGAAGCACACTCTACAGAGAAGAGGAGGTGTGCAATAGCGGGGTGGGTCCCTGAGGCCACTCCCTGCCCGCAGTGTTCCCCAGTAAGTCCAGCAAGGCAGACAACACAGACTCCTGCAACCGGGCCAGGAGGTGAGACACCACTAGAACTTAGGGCAGACAGGGCCTAACATCCAGGACACACATAGGCCCTACTTGGGACTCTGGCCAAGCTGCTTCATCAGCCTTCTTCTGTGCCACCATTAGTCTGCAAGAATTACACTTGGGGCAGGGCTGCCTGGGGCCTGTACTCAGAGCTCCGGCAGGGGCTTCCACAGTCCCCAAGCCTACTCCAAGCACCCCTCCTCCTGAACATGTCTTCCTCTAAGGGCCTCCTTCCTCAAAGACCTTCCAGGGTCTCAGGGCATATGGTCCCCCAAACCTCACCAACTGTGACTTGCCCTTTGCCCCCGGCTGTAACTAACCCCCTCCTCTGTCCATCCTACTCAGACTCTTCAAACTCACAGGTAAAACTACTAGCATGGTAGCCAGCAGAAGCCCAGACACTCCCACTCCTCTAACCCTGCAGCACACTTCAGAGAGCTCTCCCGGTATCTGATCAGCCCCAGGAATCCTCTGTACTGTGTGGCACACCTGTAGATGGCAGCTGACCCTCAGCACCAGGCCAGCCCCCCAGAGGAGGGAGGTAACTGCGTACGGAGTGTCATCGCCCTTTTCTACAAAAGTGGTAACGGGCTAGCCAACGTGGGTCTAGTTAGAAACACCCCCCACACACTGGGAGAACATTGCAGGCCAACAAGAGTGGGAGGACCCGAAGTCCCACCCGCGGCCTCCCTCTCGGAACATCCGCAGTCAACGCCTGGCGCCATGACAACCCTCTGCCCCGCCCACCTACCATCCCCCCACTCCAGAGGAAAACCTACCCAGGAGGGGGAACACCCCCGACCTTCCTCCCCAGGTGTTTCCGGAGCTCGGAGGCGGAGCTGTACCTGGGCCAAGCACCACCCTGAAGAGCGAAAGCTCGAGACCAGCCCACCCACCCGGGCCCGCACCCACCTACGCAGCACAGCTGCCGGTAGAGGTAGCCCCTGCGGGCCTGCTCGCAGCCCCCGTCCAGCCAGCACGGGCGTTGCAGCAGGACCTCGCTCTGCAAGGCGAAGGCGCCCTCGGCCGCCCACGCCCCTGCCATGGCCGGGAGCTCCGGCTGCTCCGGGTCGCTCTCGGGCCGTAGAGGCCTTGCTCCCCGCCTGCGGCGAAGGCCGGGGCTCAGCCCTCCACGTTCTCCCCGTCCACCGGACGCCAGGCCCAGACCCGGAGAACCTGCCCCTGCGCGTGCCCCGCCCAGTTGTGGGCCAGGAAGCCGCGCCCCGGCCATAGGGAGCGCGCTGGCCGCGGGAACTCGCGAACCACGGGGCGTGGGACGCCCGGGACACAAGGGTCTGAGAACAGCCCAGCAAGCCGCAGTTCCTCCCCTGGGAATGCCCACGCACAGGGAAACTCTGGCGTCTGCGGGAGGGCCACACCCACCGGGATGCTCAGGGCTCACGGGACCTGCGGGGGCGATGGGCAGAGGATGGTCGAGGCCCCTAAGCGGCGTCTGGCACTATAGGGCGCCGAGCGAGCCAAGAGGGGATGCAAGGGAGCCCTGGGAGGAAGGGCCCGTGCCTGGTCCAAACCACATGCCTAGAAGCCCTTAGCCTGTACATTCTGTTGGATGCCCCTGTTTGCAGCTGACTCACAGGCTGCTGGGAATCCCAGGGCCACTCCTGGACAATCCGTTCCAAGACCCAAGTTCAGGCTACCTTGCCCTGGGAGCTAGGACGGAGCAGGCCCGCTATGGGGCCCAGAGCCACACACACTACCACGAGTGCCCGTCCAGGTCTGTGCTGCATCCCATCGGGGCGGTCCCTCTGGCGTGAAGCCTTGGTGCAGAGCTGCCCAATCCCCAGGGACTGCCCCAGGCTCCATTCACTTGGGCCCCGCCCCGTCTTGTGGTGGGGATGGCCACCTCGGAGTATAGCCCGGGAGCTGGTGACTTTGAGGAGGGGAGGGCAAAGCACGGCCTAGTTGCTTGCCTCACAGCTGGTTCTGGGTTCTGTGCCCTGCTGGAGGACACTCCGGCAACCTCTGTGGGCAAAGGAGGCCACTGTGCAGGCCGCATGCTCCTGCCACTCTGAGAGGCCCTTGCCTGCCTCCAATCCAAGGCTCACCCCCGTCACTCCTGCCACCCACCTACCCAAGACCTGATGCAGGCTACACAGCCACAAAGCTCCACCTCCACCACACCCTAGGAAGTGGTAGGGTCTTCAAAGCAAGAGTATGAACAGGGGAGCCAAGAAGCTTTCACAAACATTGCTGTTTAGTTCAGGAACAGGAAGAGGAGGGAGCCTTAGCAGGCCAGGGGCGGGAGGGAGGCGGACCCTCCACCCCTGCCCCGCCTCCAGTCTCCTGGCAGGGGCGGTGGCGGTCAACGGTGGCAGAGGCAAGGGCGCTTACCTTGCTCGTCCTGTGCCTGCCGATTCCCTCTACGCCAATGCCATACAGCAGCCAGAGTGACAACATGACCCGCGACCACCAGGGAGGGAAACAGGCTGCTCGACGGCTCCATGGCTGCCACACTGAATGGGCAGAGCCGTCCTCTATGCACCAGGGGCCAGCTGTTACAAAGTCACACAGCACCTCCCTGCATGGAGGGTGAGCAGAGGGGTGCCCCAGGAACCAGAGCCCACCCTGGCCAC